ACATCTTTGTTGGTATGTGGTGCTGAGGATCGAACCCGGGCCGCACGCATGCCAGGCGAGCGCGCTACTGCTTGAGCCACATCCCCAGCCCCACAAAATTAATCTTGTAAATAAATAAATTTAGATAGTTTACCCAGTGACTTGGGAGGTAGAGGCAGGAGGATTGTAAATTCAAAGCCAGCCTCAGTAAAAGCTGTCTAAATAAATACAAAATAGGGGAGCTGGGGTTGTGGCTCAGCGGTAGAGTGCTTGCCTAGCTCATGGGAGGGATCGATTCTCAGCACCACATATAAATCAATAAAATAAAGGTATTGTGTCCGACTACCACTAGAAAATAAATATTAATTAATTAAATAAATAAACACAAAATAGGGCTGGGGAGGTGGGTCAGTAGTTGAGTGCCCCTGATTTCATCCCCAGTGCCCCCCCCCMAAAAAAAATAGATGGGTTAAAAAATTGGGTCCAAAACTGACTCTTCTATTTATTCCAGGAAAGATAACTTTTTTTTTTTCCTTCCCATTTACTGGTGTAATTTGGTGTGGCTATCATGTTAATCACCAGTTGCTTAAATGATTCTGAAATAATTGCTTGGATTCTTTTTCTCATATTTTTAGAATTATTTGTTTATTTTATCTGGTCGGAGATGGTTGCTGCATTCTGTTTCCAAATAGAATAATTTAGTATATTTTCCACTAGTTTTGATTTCCAACGCAGTTATATTTCTTTGTTGTTGTTGTTGTTGTTATTTTAGTTGTGGATTGACACAATACCTTTATTTTATTTATTGTTATGTGATACTGAGGATTGAACCCAGTGCCTCATACATGCTAGGCGAGCACTCTACTGCTGAGTTACAACCCCAGCCCCCTAACTTAATTATATTTCTTATAAAACATTGTAACTTCTTTTTTCCAAGTTCTTTCTATATTTTTAATAATAAAGTAGTTTCTAAGTTACTGAGTTTTCATTCATTTTTTTTAATCTTTGTTGATTAAAATATAGAATAGGTTTGGTAAATTCTATGAGTTGCAGTGATACATTGTGAATTCAGAGATTAATTCTTGCATTTTATTACATCTTCATAAAAATCTAAAGATATTGAGGAAAGAATTTATAAAGAAAGTATAAATAATATCAAATTTTTTTATTGTTTCTTTAGTATGTTGTAGATGTCTCTTTTTGCAAAATTCCAATTTGCTTAGCTGTGATAAACTAATTCCTTGTATTACATTACAGGTTTTTTCCTTAAAAGTAATCGTTGAAATATTTTAATAGCTAGGCATTATTACCTTCTTTGTGAAGTTTTATTTACATATCTCTTAAGTAATTGGCAATCTTTTTCTTCCCCTCTATTATTTAGCCCAAAAGAAATTCTTCCTTCAAAACCTGTAAAGAAAGAGAAGGAACAGAGGACACGTCACTTACTCACCGACCTCCCTCTCCCTCCTGAGCTCCCTGGTGGGGATCCATCTCCCCCAGACTCTCCAGAGCCAAAGGCAATTACACCACCTCAGCAACCATACAAAAAGAGACCAAAGTGAGTTTTTTTTTTTTTTTTTTATTGTTGGTCGTTCAAAACATTACATCTTTCTTGATATATCATATTTCACAATTTGATTCAGAAGGGTTATGAACTTCCCTTTTTACCCCGTATACAGATTGCTGAATCACATCAGTTGCATCAGTTACATTTCCATTGATTTACACATTGCCATTCTAGTGTCTGATGAATTCTGCTCTCTATCCTATCCCAAAGTGAGTTTTGGGGGGAGTCTGTCTTTAATAGTTGTCTTGCTTACTTTTGTACCTAAGTCTTAAGTGTTTTTCCACAACATATCAGTAAGGTCATAGAAGTTTGGTCCCAGCAGGTCCAGGGGCTTATGCCTTTATTCCCAGGAGCTTGGGATTCTGAGGCAGGAGAATTGCAAGTTTGATGCTAACTTCAGCAACTTAGCAAGGCCCTCAGCAATTTTAGGAAGACCCTGTCTCAAAAGAAAAAATAAAATGGACTGGAGATTAGTTCTCTGGTAAAGCATCCAGTGTGTGCATGTTGGCATGCTGATGTTGAGGATTTAACACAAAGTGTTCCATCCCCAGTACCTGCCCCCACTCAAATAAATAAATAAAAGACAGTGATGTCTGGTCTTAATGTGTGTGTGTGTATTTTTTTAAATTTTTGGTACTGGGGATTGAACTCGGGGGCACTTAGCCACATCCCCAGCCCTATTTTGTATTTTATTTAGAGACAGGGTCTCACTTAATTGGTTAGTGCCTTGCTGTTGTTGAGGCTAGATTTTTTTTTTTTTTAATTGTAGACAGACAAAATACCTTTATTTTATTAATTTTGTGTGGTGCTGAGAACTGAATCCAGTGCTTTACGAATGTTAGCCCATCACTCTACCACTGAGTCATAACTCCAGCCCTCTGAGGGTGGCTTTGAACTCACAATCCTCCTACCTCAGCCTCCCAGGCTGCTGGGATTATAGGTGTGTGCCACCAAGCCCAGCTTCTGAAGTATATTTTTACAGTCAAAACACTCTTTAGGAAAACCCTTTTATCTGGTCCCACAGATAACCTGGCTAGGTTTTTAGAAAAGTAATAAATTCCCAAATCCATATTGAGTAATCTCATTGTCTTTTTTTTTTTTTAATTTTCCTTTTAGTTGTAGTTGGGCACAATACCTTTATTTTATTTATTTATATTTATGTGATACTGAGGATTTGAACCAGGGCCTCGAACATACTAGGCAAGTGCTCTACTGCTGAGCTCCAACCCCAGCCCTCGTTGTGTCTTTTGAGTTCATGATGCTAACAGTGTTAAAAAAGTAAAAAGCCCGTTTAATTCAGGGTGCCAACATGCACACATTAATGAAATATTATTTTTCTTCCCAAAAAGCATATAAATTGTCACAATGTAAATATAGTGTAAACTGGGTCTATTTTCATTGATTTCATTTCTCTGTTAATAAAAATAGTTACCAAATATTGAGCATATGTTAACTGCCAAAGTTTTATATTTTATTTTCATAGTAAGCCTAGGATATAGGGATTCTTTCCCCATTTTATAACTGAAGCCAGTATTGAAGAGAGATCAGAAAGTGAGCAACTAACTTATTATTTGATCCCTAGTCTTCCTGAAGCCAGAATTCTAACTCTTATTCTCATTGTCAGAGATTTTTTTAAGCTATTTTATATCATTTGACTTCTGCCTTTTCAATAAAAAATTTTAGACAATACAGGAGTTAGACACAGGAGCCAGTGGAGTCATCATGAAAAAATAACATTTTTTACTATTTTTATTTTTAGAATTTGTTGTCCTCGTTATGGAGAAAGACGACAAACAGAAAGTGACTGGGGGAAACGATGTGTGGACAAGTTTGATATTATTGGGATTATTGGAGAGGGAACCTATGGCCAAGTATATAAAGCCAAGGACAAAGACACAGGTAAATATTGCCATAAAAGCTTTGATGTTGGGTTAACAGTTTAACAAATCTAATTTTTTTTGTGTGTGTGTGTGTGTGTGTGTGTGTTTGTGTGTGTGTGTGTGTGGTGCTGGGGACTGAACCCAGGGCCTTGTGTGTTTGAGGCAAGCATTCTACCAACTAAGCTATATCCCCAGCCCCAAATCTGATTGTCTTAAGAAGATTATCAAAAACAAATTTTGTCTTTTAATTTGATTGCCAAAAGTTATTAAATAGACTAACATTTTTTWAAAAAAAAACTACAGCCAGGCTCCGTGATGCATGCCTGTAATCCCAGCTACTCAAGAGACTGAGGCAGAAGGATTGTCAATTTGAAGCCAGCGTGGGCAGTTTAACAAGATGCTGTCACAATTTTGAAAAAGCAGGGAAAGTGGAGCTAGAGATGTAGATTAGTGGTAGAGCACTTGCCTACTGTGTGTGAGACCCCGGGTTTATTCCCCAGTACTAGAAGGTGGGGTGAGGTATTCATTTCAGGACTTTTTTTTTTTTTTCCTTTTTAAATATTTATTTATTTATCTTTAGTTTTAGGTGGATACATTAGTTTGATTTTATGTGGTGTCGAGGATCGAACCCAGTGCCTCATGCATGCTTGTCGAGCACTCTACCACTGAGTCACCACCCCAGCCCCTCATTTCAGGACCTTTCATTTCAAAATCTGCAAATACTCAAGTCCCTTATGTAAAATGGCATGGTATTTGCTTTTATGCCTGTTCACATCCTTCTGTATTCCTTAAATCATCCATAGAGTACTTAGTACCTAATTCAAGGCAAAGTTATATAAATCAGGAGTAACATCTATACATAATCAGTACAGGCACAATATTTCCCCTCAATAGGTTTAATCCACAATTGGTTGAATCTATATATGTAGAACCTATGGACATAGAAAGAGAACTGTACAATAATTATTCTTTTTTTAATTTTTTTTTTTTTTTGGTACTAGAGATTGAACTCAGGCACCGAGCGACATCCCAAGCCCTATTTTGTATTTTATTTAGAGACAGGGTCTCACTGAGTTGCTTCATTCATTCCTCACCATTGCTTAGGTTGGCTTTGAAATCCCAATCTTTCTGCCTCAGCCTCCCAAGCCATTGGGATAACAGGCCTGTGCCACCAGACCTAGCACACAATAATTGTTCTTTTAAAACCTTTTGGGCACTGTATTTGTACACCTGTAATCCCAGTGGCACAGAAGGCTAAGACAGGAGTATCACGAATTCAAAGCCAGCCTCAGCAATGTCCAGGCACTTACCAACTCAGTGAGATTCTGTCTCTAAATAAAGTACAAAATAGGGCTGGGGATGTGTCTCAGTGGACAAGTTCCCCTGAGTTTAATCTTGACGTTGAGTAGGAGGATCTCAAGTTTTAGGCCAACCTCAGCTACAGTCCTAAGCAACTTAGCAAGACCCTGTCTCAAAAAATAAAAGAGAGATGGGAATGTGGCTCATTGGTAGACTGCCCCAAGTTAAATCCCCAGTACTAAAAAAAAAACAAAAACAAAAAAAAAAAAACCTCTTTTTATGGTTCATTCTAACTTTCTGTAGCTTCCTGGAAATAAATTTATTTATTTATTTAGGACTGATAATTAAACCTAAGAGCAGTTTACCACTGAACTATATCCAGAGTCCTTTTTTTAATTTAATTTTTTGGTAACAGGTACTGAATTTAGGGGCACTCAACTATTGAGCTGCATTCCCAGCCCTATTTTGTTATTTATTTAGAGACAGACTCTCACTGAATTGCTTAGTGCCTCACCATTGCTGAGGCTGGCTTTGAACTAGCAATCCTCCTGTGTCAGCCTCTGAGCTGCTGGGATTATAGGTATGTGCCACTGCACCCAGCTATATATATATATATATATATATATATTTTAGTTGTTGATAGACTTTTTTTTTTTTAAATTTTATTAGTTGTTGATGGACCTTTATTTCATTTATTTATATGGTGCTGAGAATTGAACCCAGTGCCTCACACATGCTAGGCAAGTACTCTGCCACTGAGTCACAACCCCATTCTATCCTTTTAATTTTTTACTGTGAGATTGGGTCTTGTTGAATTGCTGAGGCTGGCCTCAACTTTCGATCTTCCTACCTCAGCCTCCCAAATCGCTGGGATTACAGGTATGTACCACCATGCCTGGTTGCTCCCTAGAAATTTTAAAAGGGAGAAAATAAAAGTTGTAGGGTTGTAGGGGAGAAGTTTTTGAAATTTAAAATGAAATATTTAATTATTGGTATGTTTTAATAATGCAAACTTTTAGGCCTAACTGAATTTGGAAATAACAAATCCAAATTAAAAAAATATATATTTGACAAGAAAGGAACATAGTTCCCATAGACGATTGAGGCAGGAAGTTTGAGGCCAACTGTAGCAACTTAGTGAGCCCCTCAGCAGTTTAGTGAGACCCTGTCTTAAAATAAAAATATAAACTAAGAACAGTGGTGCACACCTGTAATCCCAGTGCCTCAGGAGGCTGAGGCAGGAGAATCAAGAGGTCAAAGCAAGCCTTAGCAAAAGTGAGATGCTAAGCAACTCAGTGAGACCCTGTCTGTAAATCAAATACAAAAAAATAGGGCTGGGGATGTGGCTCAGTGGTCATGTGCATGTGAATTCAAACCCCTAGTATCAAAAAAAGGAAAAGAAAAATAGAAAGGACTTGGATGTAGCTCAATGGCAAAGTGCTTCTGGATTCAATTCCTTATCAAAAAAAGTAAAGAAAAGAACATAAAGAACATAGTGGGAGCTGGGGATATACCTCAGTTGGTAGTGTGCTTGCCTTGCATGCAGAAGACCCTGGATTCAATACCCAGCATGCATAAATGAATGAATGAATGAATAATTGAATAAATTWAAAAAAATAAATAGGGGATGGGATGTAGTTCAGTGTTAGGGTGCATTCTTAGGGTGAATTGAGTCCCTAATACCGAAAAAGAAAAGAAAGAACGGGAAATGTAAGTTTTTGTTTTTGGTGCTGGAGTTTAATTCAGGGGAGCTCTACCACTGAGCTATATTCCCACTCTTTAAGGTCTTTCTAGATTGCTGAGGGCCTCACTAATTTGCTGAGTTTGGCCTTGAACTTGAAGTACTCTTGCCTTAGCCTCCCAATCACTGGTATTGTAGGCAAGTGTCACTGCCTCTGGCAGGATTTTTTTTTTTTTTTAAGGAAATAAAAATAGGTATTAAGGGTCTTTTAGAACCAAGGGCATATAATACTGGTTCATGATTGTGGATAAAAAATGTTAAATTTGGGCTGGAGTTGTGGCTCAGTGGTAGAGTGCTCACCTAGCACATGTGAAGCACTGGGTTCAATCCTCAGCACCACATAAAATAAAATAAAGGTATTGTATCTACCTACAACTAAAAAATATATATTAAAAAATGTTGAATTTGTTTTGGCAGGAGAACTAGTAGCTCTGAAGAAGGTGCGATTAGACAATGAGAAAGAGGGATTCCCAATTACAGCCATTCGTGAGATCAAAATTCTTCGTCAGTTAATCCACCGAAGTGTTGTTAACATGAAGGAAATTGTTACAGATAAACAAGATGCACTGGATTTCAAGAAGGACAAAGGTACTAGCAATGAATCATGTGCCTACAGGATAGATTCGCACTTTTTATTTTCCTCTCTTAGCTTGTTTTCCTATGTGAATTTTTAAACAGGTTGTGCTGAAGTCTAGCTTTTTCCTTTAATCTATTCCAGAATTAAGATGTTGGCAGATTGTACCAAATGGTGTTGATTTTTTTAAGTGTCCATTTTGCACCAATATACTCTGTATACTTTTTTAAATTTTTATTTTATTTTTTAGTGTAGTTGGACACAACACCTTTATTTCACTTGTTTAATTTTATGTGGTGCTGAGGATCGAACCTAGGGTCTTGCACATGCGAGGCGAGTGCTCTACTGATGAGCCACAACCCCAACCAACTCTGTATACTTTTTTTTTTTTTTTTTAGTTTTGGGCGGACACAACATCTTTATTTGTATGTGGTACTGGGGATCGAACCCAGGCCGCATGCATGCCAGGCGAGCGGGCTACCGCTTGAGCCACATCCCCAGCCCCCACTCTGTATACTTTGTAAGCATCATTGTCAATATTAAAATGTGCATTTAGGTAAGTAGGGTGTGGTATAACACCTAATAAAGCCAGCAGATAAACTTATCCAGATTTTTGTTTGTTTATGTATAGCTCTGGGGCTCAATCCCAGGGCCTGATATAACATTTTGTGGGGGTTTTGTTTTTGTTTTTACAAAGTTTAAAATAGTAATTGACATTAAAACATTATTCAGGCAGGGTTACACACAGGCACACCTATAATCCTAGCAATTTGGGGGGCTGGGCAATTTAGCAAATCCTTGACTCAATAAAAGGATTGGGGATGTAGTTCAGTGATAGAATGCCCCTTTTACCCAATACTGCCAAAAAAACATCCAGAACCAGATTTATCCATTATTCTCATGGTTACATCATCACTGTTTGTTATTGTCTATATGCATCCATATTTTTATAACAGTTTTGCATTGATACAGTTTAGAAATTCAAAGCAGGATTTTTGTTTTTGTTTTAGAGCATTATAGTTATACATAGTAGTTGTGTTCATTTTGACAAAATCATACATGCATGGAATTTGATTTCAGTCCCCTTCCTCACTGTCTTCTCTTCCCTCCTCACTCTCCCATTCTGTTTTCTCTACTCAGTGCAGGTGTTTTCTAAAAATATTTTCATCAGATCACATAGTGGTTTGATTATTGGAGTTGTAACTTTTGTCTCTGTTTGAGAAAATTGTTCATTGTTTTCATACTTATGTTTGAAGTAGTTTATACATTACATCATCCAACCTATTTTTGTACAAAAATCTGAAGAAGATTTAGAGATGGGCAATTGAAAATAGAGTCAAATGAAGAAATGGCATCTGTGAATACACTCTGGAATGTTAGAAGGTGATTGAAGTATAAAAAACTAGAAAGGTAATAGTTAAAAAGTTAAGCTTGACTATAAACAGAGCCTTAAGGATATTGGCACTAGGGGAGGAGCCATCCTAGGCATAATTCTGTGCATATTTTAACTTTCGGAATATACAAATATTATGTAACTAGTTTCCGTAAGAATGCATAGAAAATGTTACTTGGTTGTTTCTGGAGAGGTGCTTACTTTCATTCATACCACTCTCTACTGTTTGTTTGTTTGTTTGTTTATTTTTAATATTTATTTTTTAGTTGTAGTTGTACACAATACCTTTATTTTGTTTATTTTTATGTGGTGCTGAGGATTGAACCCAGGCCTCACACATGCTAGGCAAGTGCTCTACCGTTGAACCACAACCTCAGCCTGCACTCTCTACTGTTTAAATAAATCATTTACTATGAACTACCTAAGTTCATTTTGAAAAAAATTATAAAAATGAATGAATGGATGTGATACATGATTATAAAAATATTGAAAATTTGGAACAGTAAGAAAACAAAATGGCAATCATTTTTTTTTAATTTTTAATTATTTTTTTCTTTAAAGAGAGAGAGAGAGAGAATTTTAATATTTACTTTTTAGTTTTTGGGCTGCACGCACGCCAGGCAAGCGCGATGCCAGGCAAGCGGGATGCCAGGCAAGCGCTATACGGCTTGAGCCACATCCCCAGCCCGGCAATCATTTTTTTCCCACTCTATCCTAACAGAACCATTCTTAGAAAAACCACTGTATTGGGCTGGGGATGTGGCTCAAGCGGTAGCGCGCTCGCCTGGCGTGCGTGCGGCCCGGGGTTCGATCCTCAGCACCACATACCAACAAAGATGTTGTGTCCGCCGATAACTAAAAAATAAATATTAAAGTTCTCTCTCTCTCTCTCCCCCCTCTCACC